GATAGACAGATCTTTCCCCAAGAGACATACGGAGTGGCCAGCAATTGGCTGCCTAGTTCCCTAGTTAAAATCTGAAGTGCACATTACTGGGACTTCGCAGTTTTCTTCTTCTTCTTCTTCATTCACATGGATTAGAGTGCTTTGAACTCCATTTCAGGGTTGAGAAATTTTATATGTTGTTCTGTTTTTAGTACAGTGTAGACTATTATGTAGATACCAATGTTTCGGAGAAATATATTGTTTACATTGTCTGGGTTGAAGTGGTGATGCTGGAAAGTGGAAGGTTTAACGTAAAGTTAGATGAAGGGAAGGCCATCTCTCACCATTCCATTCCTCTAATCCAGTATAAATTCCCCCGCTTTCAAGAATCGCCACTACAGCCATGGAGATGGTGATATTTTCTTTCTCCGAAACGTTGGCACCTACCTACGAGTATGGTTGGCGCTAAAACGCAGAGCAGCAATAATAACATTATCGTTCTCACCGCCGTGAAAATCTGGAACTTCATAAGAAGTTAAATACATTTTTCCATTTATCATTAGAATTTGCTATATTTTTTCTTTCGGCTGGGAGAAAATGTAATGTGTTAATTTTGGTGACGATTATTTGACTGTTGTGACTATTCTGAAAGCGAAATTTTCGTTTTTACTCAGCTGTTTCCATTTGAATTTTCCGAGAGGGTGTGTTTCTTATTACGTGAAGAATTTTTACTGCTGTTTAGGAGTTAAGAGACTAGGAAAAACAACGTAGACTCCTCTAATGAACACCTCAGTTGTTTTTATAGTAATGTATTATTTGGTGCAGCCATCTACATAAGTTAATCAGTTGGGACAAATTTATTTTGAATACTTTTGTGAAGGTTTGGGCAGTAAAGTTATTTACATTAAATTTTTGGCCGCCTAATGATACATTGTTTTTCGAAACACGCCGCCAATTACGTTCAAATTATAATTTTAGTCAACTGATAATCTCTTGAGCAGTTGATTGTACCATACAGTATAAAACACCTATAAACCAGTTACATGGCTTTTAATCACTTCTTTTCATAATGTGAATTAAATTCATTAAGAAAAAATTATACCACCTGTTGGCGTAATAAACGATTCTTCAAAAAGGAACTATATCTTGGCTGATAATCTCCAATATTAATACGCGCATCGCCTTCATTAACAGGGCTTGATTTTCATAAATGAGGCTCCAGCGACCGAGTCATGGCCATATAACCATTACATTTAAGTGTAGGAGATGCTGGATTTTTAGTTTGTCCGAGTCTTAAATGTGTTAAACTGACATCCGATATGGAGGAACATCCAGCTGAAGTAATTTGTTAGGTTAGTTATGAATGTAGTTTTCTCAGTACTGATTTGAGCTATCTGGCCATTTAGATGTCAACCATGAATAACTAGTGCGTTTCAATTAAGTGCAAACACACCAATCCGTAAACAAATTTTGACGAGAATGCTTTGCTGTATAGGTCGAAATTCTTTAAGATTTTCATTCCTACATTAACTCTTCATAAACCAATGGAAACTGTATGCACCACCAGATTTAGTAATAAATAACTCTGAATTTTTGTCCACACAGCGTGTTTATTTATTGGTTTCGTATGATGTTTGTTCTCTTTGAGGCACGGACTGAATTTTTATATATTATTTAGATAAGCTTCGGCTACATAAGCTTAAGGTGAGTGGGAATTCTGTTAATATCACAATATCAGTTTAAGACAAACTCCGATACAAAGAAATATTGTTTATAGGTGTTGAAAACTCATCATGCGTTTTCTGGCCAAACCACGAAATCCTCCGGGGCATCGCCGTTACTGCCACATGAACTAATTTGTTGTGTAATTAAAAGTTGGACACACCTAGTTTAGCCAATCACACGAAGTTTTCGAAAGTACCTGTACAGTTCCGCTAGAAGCAGACGACTTTACCTCGTACGTGAGTTGCTTTTCACGTGCTACATAAACACTTCAAAGTATTTTTGAGATCACAGCTTTTCTACTTTTAACAAAGTCTACAAATTTAAAGATAGAATTTCATTTACAGTAGCAGATATTATTTTATAGCCAACGCAGCACTTTGAACCGAAAAGAGAGATATATTTTTATGACCTCCTATATTACTACAATACTTTGATTGAGTAGTGTACATTATCGCTATTATTTTGAAAATGAAATATTTGGGACCCCATGTTCATAGGAACAATTTTTCTTATTTTTGATCCAGGAACACGCACACGAAGTTTGTAAACATACGTCTGACTCACTCTGTATAAGGCAGCAAAATTCCTCAAAGAACTAAAGAGACAGGAAGTGTGTATAAGCAATAAAGAGAGTAAGTAAGTTGGTTAGCGCACATTAAGTTATTTAAAGTTACATAACTGGAATCATTAAAACATCACTCACTCACTTTACGGTACAGGAAATTCTTTGAAAAGTCGATTGTATACTCGGCTTGTCAAAGAATAGCTCACTTTCTTTATTAAATCCGAAGGTTCATCACCGCGTTCACAAAATCTCGCCACTGGACTCTGTCCTGAGCCAGCTGAATCCAGTTCGCTCCATCGATTCCTGTCTCCCTAATGTCCATCTTAACGTTATCCTCCCACTTTCGCCTACGTCTTCCCAGAAGGTTTCCTCTCTTTAGACATCCGAACCAATACCTTGTAAACACCCTACCCCTCCCCATGCGTGTTCAATGTCCCGCCAACCTCAACCTCCTTGATTTAATCGCCCTGACAATGTCAGGTGAGGAGTACAGTCCGTGAAGCTCATCATTATGCAATTTTCTCCAGAACCGTTTCCCTCCCTTTTAGGACCAAATATCTTCCTCTACACCCTTTTCTCAAAGGCCCTTAATCAATGTTCATCCCTGAAAGTGAGAGACCAAGTTTCGCAGCCATACAGCACAACTGGCAGAATTACATTTTCTTTAAAATTTTAATATCTAATTTTTATATGAAACAGGAGGAGAAAAGACTTTGGACTGAATTTAATCTGCTCTTGATTTAGTCATGAATGGTATTATTACTTTTAGGATATGAAGTTTTCACGGAGGTAAGTACGAAGACATCTTGTCTTCTGGGTTGTTGCGCCGTGTAGTCTGGTAGAAGTTTACCGACGTTTAAGAGGTCATTGCTGCCTCCGTAATCATTATTATGACTCGTTAGTGTCTTCCCCAATTACTTAAATTTTGTCACGATTTCAAACGATTTATTAGCGATCCTTTTATTCTGGTTATGTCCTGAATTCTGATGCCTAGATATAATCATATACTTTGTCTTGTCTGAATTTATTCCTAGACTAACATCCCTACTACCCTTTAAGAGTGATTCTGTGTTCGCTATTATAATATTTATATTATCGCCCAACCGATTAATTTCATCAGCACAGACCGAAAGCTAACGTGTCACGTTCAATTCCAAATAACCCTGATTTTTTTGGTATTCCCTGATGGCAAAATTGAAAAGCAGTGGCGATGGAGCAGCTCCCTCATTCAGGTCATTGATGAATACGAAATGCATCGGACAAATATTTACCTACACGGATTCTGCTAGAGGTTTCACTTAAATACATTTTAATTAGCCCGACAAGCTTCTTAGATACACCAAATTCAAGTAAAATATCCTAAAGAGTTTCTCTTTTAACTGAGTCATAGGCTTTCTTGAAGCCTATAAATAGTATATGGACTGTCCCATTTGACTCCAATTTTTTCTCTAGTATCTGGAAAATGTAGAAAATGTGATCATTTGTGGATCTATTACGACTGGAACCCACACTGCTGATCCCCAATAATTTAATTTGCGTACGGAGTCAACTTCGTCAGAAAAATTAAAACAATTGTTGGCAGATGATAAGAGGGAGATTTCTCGATAATTGTTACAATCAGACTCACTAGTCTTATAATTAAAACATTAAAAGTCTCAGATTTACTTTGTTTCGGTTGCTGGCTTTGTCTCCATCTTCAGGTAAGAAGACATCATATTTGCACTGTGGGGCTTATTAAATAAAGATAATCTTCATCACTGGCCTTTATCCTTATTTTTATCTAAAGGGCCCCAAAGATCAGATGCTTTCCCACTTGTAGACGGAGACAGAACATATATCCGAAACTTAGAAAGTTTTAGAATTTTAAGTATTTATTTTTAAATTCGTGTAATTCTAAATAACAAACAATGAATTATGCCCAACAAAAATATCATAATAATACGAATACGCCGTTAAACATAAAATGATGTGACGTGTGTCGACTGCGAAGTTGAAGTTAAAGCATTTTGACATTCTGCAACTCGTAATATAATTTATTTGAATTGAAGGCGTTAGAGGACCAATTGTTTATCCGCATTTAGAAGTTCATTTGGGCGCATATTTGTAGAAACTTGCCGATTACACTCTACAAATATTTAGCGCTGAGATTGTGGTCTTATTGCTGACAAATAAATGGAAAGTTCAAGGGTGTGGTAACTTTAAAGGCATAGCACATTTCACGGATTTTGTAGTAACGTCATCAAGTTGCAGGCTTCAAGGCCACAGACGGTCCCCACCCCCACTATGGCTCGGCTCAAATTCAACATTATAGCGAGTTCTGATCTGTCTTCACTCGCCTAGGCTCAGACGTTATAGTGTTGCAACGTTGTACGTTTATACCGTGACCTTGAAATATGAAATATGATGGCGGCTATTATAGCAGATTGGAAGGTTTTCAGCGGAAACAGATGTTCCGTCACATCACGTACAATATATCTGTTCTATACACATCTGATGAACATAAACGATGTTGGGTATTGGCCTATAACCTCAACCCTGCTGCAATAACTTAATATTTTTTTTAAAATTATAAGTTAACTGAATCCAGTCAACACTATTTCTTGAAAGGAAAGTTCATTTGATTTAATATTTATGACCAAATACAAATTGTCTACAGATTATATTTAACAGTTCAGTTGAATGATGGTGTCATTAAATTTTGCAGTTTACTGATGTGTTTCTTTTCTTACAGATTCGCATGGTTACATGGAGCGAATTAATGTTAACATACTACGAAATTTAAAACGTTACATATTAATTAAATAAAGGCTGTCAGGTTTCTGCAAAAACGTTATAAAATAACAACAGTAAAATTATAGGAGTAAGATTTACTAAGTTATAGAATTTAAATGTGCGCCGCCTAGCACTACGAATTGTTTTTAGAGTGCTTTAAAATGTTGTGATAACATAAGCATAATAGACTTGTTGGCTGGGTAAACGCCTGAATAAACCGTGCCTACCGACCCGCTTCTCAGCAGTGTCTGAAGAGTTGCAGCATGCGCACGGCGCTTTGTCTTATGTAATCTGTTAAAAAACCGAAACAAATCCACGTCTTTCATTGCCCCCTAGTAATCTATACATTATTATAATTTAAAGACACGCCCTGTTTTCATGAAACATAGTAACAATAAAAATATCTGGACTTATTCCCTTCATGACAGTTAATATTCCTACGATGTTTCCCGGAAATACGTTTCAGTACCGACATTATATCCCGTCTAACTAAGGACAGCCGGTGGCGAAAATTGGAAACTGTTTCTTGTTGGTTGGTGACGTAAACTATACAGCAATGCAGTTCTGCGCATATAGCCTCTCCCTTGCCCTCTCTACTCCCCTCTAGAGCCGATAAACGACGTAAACTTAATCGAGTGAACCTCCGACGAATTAAGCAATCGTATCCAGACATGATAAAACTCAAGTTCTGTCTCTGTGCTTGCCAAATGGTATCTTTTCAAGGCATGTTCCGCACAAAATGACAGTCTTTTATTTTCTACATCCACGATACAAGTTTTGTACATTTAAAACCCAAGTTAATTATGAAACTTTGCCCCATGTATTTTTTGAAATTAACCTCTAACTTCTTCTTTTGTCCAATTTTTTTGCTCAATATTTCGAATGAGGCATTTTTATAACTTGTCCTTTTCTCAGTGTGAGCGACCAAGTTTTACACTCATACGAAAGTTTAAAGAATTGTTGGTTTACACACTGTACTTATTGCCATAATTTGAGGGGTAGTAAGAACTTCAAAACGTCTGTAAAATTTTACCAGAGTGTGAACTCGCCGCCGTGGTAACCTGAAATAACACTTTGAAGTTACATTTTGGGTAGAGGACGAAAAGGTAAATTTGATAGCTTGAAGTGGGTTTATTCTGTGAAACATGACGTTCCCACGGCAACTAGTTTGAGTATGACTGTCTTCTGGGTTGTTTCGCAGTCTAGTATGGTATAAGTTTACAGACTTTTCAGAGGTGATACTGTCTCCATCATCAGGGCTATAAGAAAATCGGCAAGTACCTCTTAAACGTCGCTAAACGTCTACAATACTGTACCCAGTCAGTCACATTCACTGACTTTATTCTGTTCGAAGTTCAGGCCGTAATAACACGAATGTTATAGTGGCCTCTGGTATACGTACAGTATTATGTACAGTAGATATAAAATGTAGTGAAGAAATTGAATAGGCCTATTGTATTTAAAAATATAAAAGAGAGGTATATCTGATTTAAGTTTATTTAAACCTGTATAATAATTTCAGTTTAAAGTTCAATGTATGTTCAACCAAAATGCCATTTATTGAACGGTTCTGTAGGGTTGAGAACGTAAATTAATCACGGTTGTATATCCGTATATTTCTGTGTTCTCATTCATATTTAGTAATTAAAATTTCGTAAGCATCAACAATTCCATTCATAACAT